CCCCTCTTCAATCGACATGGGATCTCACAATCCACCCCCTTGGGGCCCAACGTCCTCGTTGACACACTCTTGGTATTTGGCTCTGATACCATTTGTAACAGCCAAAACCCACCGCTAGTAGATATTGTTCGCTTTGGCCTGTTACATATTGCTCACGGTTTTAAAATGCGTCTACTAGGGAGAGGTTTTCACACCCTTATAAGAAATGCTCCATTCCCCTCTCCAATTGATGCGGGAGTGTATTTGTATGTTAATGTTTAATAACAATCGGTTCTTATATTATAGATTAATGATCATCATGCATCTTCTAAATTAACACGGTCACTTCCGGTCGAGTTGTTTGGGTTCTCTGCACAAATTCAAGAATTCTATGTACAGTTTCTTTTTGAAGGATTGTCATTTTGGTCATGATGAGTCAGTGCCTTGTTACTCATCAGTTAAAGCTAAGATCCTGCAGTTCTTTGAGTTAATCATTTCATGAAGTCTCTCTTTCAGCTACATTTTTTCTCAGATCAGTTGAAGTTTTCTTCCCCTTTAAACCGATGCGTTACTTGTTATGCAGATAGGCATGGTAAAAAATTCGTGTAAATTGGCACTTAAAGAACTTCGGCGTTGGATGACACCAGAGAAGGTATTTGGCATCACAAACTTCCTGTGAATGGGCATATTTTATGTATAACTTTCTTGCAATAACATCATGCTCTATTATCAAAGGTTCAAACTACAATTACCACTTTTCCTTCGTCTGCTGAAATTGTACCAGAACCTTTGGGTGTTGTGCTGATCATTTCTCCTTGGAATTATCCATTCTGTACGTTAGCTTCAATTTTTCTTTTTGTCATATCTTATTGAAAGTCACTTGCAGCCTTCAAACGGTTGGGAGGAGTACGAAACATTCTTTATAAGAGTGTGGAAACCTTTTCCTAGCAGACACGTTTTAAAAATCTTGAGGGGAAACCTGAAAGGGAAAGCCCAAAGCGGACAATATCTGCTAGCGGTGGGTTTAATATCAACACTAACCATTCTTGTCCACATTTCCCAGTTTTATCTCTCGATCCAGTTGTTGGAGCAATAGCAGCTGGTAATGCTGTGGTTCTAAAGCCATCAGAAATTTCCCCAACAACATCATCTTTAGTGGCTAAACTTTTAGTGAAGTATTTGGATACTTCTGCCGTAAAAGTTGTCGAGGGTGCTGTTCCCGAAACTTCTGCTTTGCTTGAGCAAAAGTGGGACAAGATATTTTACACAGGTCTGTTCCATTAAGCTTGAAAATAAAAGGGAAAGTTTCATAAAAACCTCTGGCCAATATGGGGTGCTGTGTCTGGTGGCTTTTATCCCATTTCCTTTTGCTCAAATCAGCTCTTTCTTAAACTAGTGGCTTCTTAATTTGCAGGCAACGGGAGAGTGGGGCGTATAGTGATGGCAGCTGCTGCCAAGCACCTTACGCCAGTTGTTTTAGAGCTTGGAGGAAAATCTCCAGTAGTAGTGGACTCAAAAATCAATTTACAAGTACTTATTTCTATTCGAGTTCAGTTAGCTACTAATGCTATCATCCTAATGGTTAGCATCTTATACAAATTCAAATGTTTCTGTTTGTCAAAGGTTGCGTGTCGGCGGATTATTGCTGGTAAGTGGGGTGGTAACAATGGACAAGCATGTGTTTCTCCTGATTATATCATAACTACGAAAGAAGTTGCTCCAAAATTGGTTAGTTTCTTTACTTACACAAATAAATTTTGTACGTTGTTCTTACTCAATTTGGTTATCTTCAAATTCATGTTCATATCTCTAGGTGGAGTCCCTAAAACAAGAACTGGAGAGATTTTATGGAAAGAATCCATTGGAATCTAAAGATTTATCTCGCATTGTGAATGCCAACCACTTTGATCGCTTGACAAAGCTCTTGGATGATGATAAAGTTTCTGGCAAGATTGTGCTTGGAGGTGAAAAGGACAAATCCAAATTGTATGTTGAATTACATCACTGGCCTGCTCTTTTGTCCATTAATCAGCTAAATATTGACTGCTAAGGATGCCCTTTTTGTCCTTTTTCATGATGCAGGCAGATTGCTCCCACCCTCTTACTGGATGTCCCTCGAGACTCTCTGATTATGACAGAGGAGATATTTGGTCCCTTACTTCCCATTATCACTGTAAGGTTTCTTTCTTCTTTTAATACTTTTGTTTTATCAGGTAAAATAAGGAAAAGATAACAAAGAGATTCGATGTTTATGCCGTGAACATTTTTGCTTGGAGCAAAATTGATCGATTCTACTAACCTCTCTCAAGTGTAAAATTTGTTATTCAACCAAAAAACATGGACCTTTTTTCGTCGAGCTTAGGGAATCCTGATTCTTATTAGGAACCACGACTCTCCACAATGGTATGATATTATCCACTTTGAGCATAAACATTCATGAGATACTTATAAATCCATGATCAACCCCTTAATTAGCCAACGTAGACTCCAATCCCAATAATCCTCAACACTTCTGACATTAATAGTAATTTATTTGACTGTGTAGGCATATGATTGACTGAAACTGCTAATTCTTGGAAGTTGCACTTTTTTGTGTGGAGAACTATAATGGATGATGAATAATACAATCTTCTTCTTTTTTGTCTTCGTCTTCATCCCTCTTTTTTTTTTTTTTTCCTTTTTTTTTCCCTTTCTTTTGGCTCGACTGGAGCAGGTAGACAAACTGGAGGACTGCTTCGAAATAGTGAATTCGGTCCCAAAGCCACTGGCAGCATATTTATTTACCAGCAATAAAAAGCTCAAGGAACAGTTCGTGGCTTGCATCTCTGCAGGGGCTGTGGTTATCAATGACACCACATTACATGTAAGAATTCTTTCCTCCGTTTACCATACTGAATGGAACTTGATTGATAAAAAAAAAAAGTTATCTGCATAGAAGCATTATGCCTGAAGGGCAATATCCCTATTTAGCATTGATATGATATCATGGGTGGGGTTTAATTACGATGGTAGGGATCGCGGATCTCCCCAATATCTCCTTAATTAGTCCCAACAATCCTCTCCTCGAACAAAGTACACCATAGAGTCTCCCCTTAATTGAGGCTCTACTTCTTCTGTGAAGCCCTTGAACAAAGTATACTCTTTGTTCGACACTTGAGTCACTTTTGACTACATATTCGAGGCTCACAACTTTTTTTTTCGACACTTGAGGATTTTATTGACATGACTCTGATACCATGTTTTAGGAATCACGATCCTCCACAATAGTATGATATTGTCCGAGCATAATCTCTCATGGCCTTGCTTTTGGTTTAACCAAAAGGCCTCATACCAATGAAGATGTATTTCTTACTTATAAACTCATCATCATCTCCTTAATTAATCAATATGGGACTCCCTCACAGCAATCCTCAATAATATCATGATGTAGAATGCGTGGGGTTTAATTACCATAGCTAATCTTCATGGGGTTAAAAATACTTGGATGATGTAAAATCTATCTCAAGTTTCCTTATTATAAAGGCGACAATTGATATTTTAAGACATTTACATCAAAAAAAAGGTCCATAATTCCTTATAGAAGCAAGATGACCATCATGGAAAACAGTTGCTTCTAGGCCATTGGCAACGCTGTTTACTGGAAGTTTTGAGTTCTTATCTAGGAATGTCTTTTTATGATCACTTTAGTTGTCACGGGCGACAATAAAATCTCGAGTGAGTATCCATTTAGCTTAAAAAACCGAAGATTCGACCTATATCAGTTAACCAAAAACCATATCGAATCGATCTCCCACCCATGTTGCTTCGATATCGATATGTTACTTGATCGATATAGAGTTGGAAGCATTGAAGTGACTGTAAGTTTTGTTTGATGATATGTGCAGCTGGCAGTTAGCACACTACCATTTGGAGGAGTTGGGGAGAGTGGAATGGGAGCTTACCATGGGAAGTTCTCATTTGATGCATTTAGCCATAAGAAGGCTGTTCTATATCGAAGTTTTGCAGGCGATGTGGCGATGAGATACCCGCCTTACACACCGGGAAAGCTAAGATTTCTGAAAGCTCTTCTTGGAGGTGGCATATTGGGACTCATTCGTGCTCTTCTTGGTTGGTCGTAAGCACCTTCTTTCACCCTTTATTTATGTCTTCTTCATTTGTGCTGCCTTGTGTCTCTTCATTTTCAAATTTGTGCCATATTTGCAGAATCATTTGTGTTTGGGCTGTAATTGTATGATAGGATAATTCGTAAGAGAATTTGGATGTATATTCAATAAGTGTCGAGTAATTAAGATTTCTTTTTCTTTTAAAACCAAAATGAACACCAAGTATTCCCCAAGTAAGAATACGTTAAAGTGAGGATGCTAAACCTCAAAGGGAGTGGATTGTGAGATCCTACGTCGGATTGTGAGATCCTACGTCGATTGGAGAGAAAAACAAATGTTAGGGAGGACGTTGGGTCTGGATTGTGAGATCCCATATCAATTGGAGAGGAGTACAAGTGCCAGCGAGGATGCTGGCCTTGGTGGATTGTGAGAAACATTCTTTATAAGGGTCTAACCGACTGTTTTAAAAGCCTTGAGTGGAAGCCAAGGTCAATATTTGCTAGGGTTTTGACTTTATTTAACCTTATTTAACTTTATTACTATATATTAGCCATATTATCATATATAGGAAATCAATGACGTTGAAGGAGTTAATAGCTTTCTTAGTTCAACAATTACCGAGGTTCAACAATTACAGAGTTGAATGATTCTTTTTTTTTACTTACCTAAGTTCTAAATATTACCTCTAATTTATATAATTGGGGTCTCAAGAATTCTTGTCCCATCAAAAAAAATTGAAATATATATATAATATCTACAATCTTTATTATAATATTTTAAAAATTTTCATATAAAAAATATTGATAATTCATAATTAAACAAAAATGTAAATAATTAAGTAAGATCCATTCACATAAGTAGGAGTTAAACAAACACAATATACAATCTTATATGAAATGCAAGAGAGTAGTGATGGGGATTAGGAAGAAGAGTCCTACAAACCAACCGACGGGAGAGTTTGGGTTCGGGCCTATGAGAATTGAGCATTATAAACAAAAGCCCTAATCTTCTCGTGTAAAAACAAAGATTAGTGGTTTCCTAAATCCATCTTCCTTAACTTGGATATTCAGAAGCTCGTAAAATTTGAAAAAGATCCGATCGTTGTTGTTCCGTTAATTTGGTTGGAAACTCGACCAAAAACTTTACTTTCAAGTTGCCTCTCTTATCCTCGTGTTTAGGTTTAGGCATACCTTGGCCTTTAATGAGCTTCTCGTAACCAGGCCAAACGACATTGTTTGTCTCCAAGATCATTGTTTCTCCTCCCAATAGAGGCACTGAAATGGTACATCCTGTTAGTGCTTTTACTAGAGGGATCGCCACGGTTAGCTCCAAGTCGTCGCCTTCTCTTTTGAAGTATGCGTGTTGCTTCTCAGCTATCACGAACGACATGTCGCCTAGGTAACTACCTAACCTCTTGTTCCCCGTTCCTTCGAATGTTATCTTCGTCCCCATTCTCCACCCTGGCTTTACTTTTATCGTCAACATTTCCTCTTCCTCAATTGGTTGCCTATCAACATATGTTACCACATTTATTATTATTATTTTTTCGATTCATGATCTTTAATTCATGAACCAACAATTTAAAAGATCTGAATCATAGCTAATTTAATACACAGATTAGTGGATATAACATTAAAACATCAACTATCACTCCAAAAGACTGATAAAGTACTAATTTAATACATAGTTTAGTGGATAAAACATCAACTATCTCCCAAAAGACTGATAAATTACTAATTTAATACAGCTTAGTGGATAAAACATCAACTATCTCCCAAAAGACTGATAAATTACTAATTTAATACAGCTTAGTGGATAAAACATGAACTATCACCCCAAAAGACTGATAAAGTATTAATTTAATACAGTTTAGTGGATAAAACATCAACTATCACCTCAAAAGACTGATAAAGTACTAATTTAATATTGTTTAGTGGATAAAACATCAACTATCATCCCAAAAGATCGATAAAGTACTAATTTAATACAATTTAGAGGATAAAACATCAACTATCATTCCAAAAGACTGATAAAGTACTAATTTAATACAATTTAGAGGATAAAACATCAACTATCATTCCAAAAGACTGATAAAGTACAGACGTAAAAGAATGAACAACGAACAATGGATTGCCATCCAAAAATTGATGCTTCAATCTCTCACCCCCTAATTATATATAGTTTCTATAATTTCAATGATTATCAATAAATCATGAATTTAGTTCTTATAATTTAATTATAATTTAAATATTTATTGAATATAAAAATTAAAATTAAAATTAAATATAGAAAGGGAAATGGCGATAGATTTTATAAAGAAGAGAACGAACCCTGTGATCGAGAGGATGTCTCTTGTAACCTTGATTTTCTTCATGCACCCAAAGCAGAGCTCCTCCAGCGTGCATTCGAGCTGCTTCTCGATCGTCGCCGGCTTCAGCACGCCGGAGGAATTCGAGAACATGATCGGCATCGAATCGATGCTTCTCCGCCCGCTGCTCACTCGAGACGCCACCGGTCCAGAGCTCCTCCGGCTCAGGCTCCGAAACTGAGACGTCGACGACGGATTTTGACCTCTCCGACTTGCATTTCGAGACAGATAAGAGAATCCGCTGTCATAGCTTCGAGGCCTGAGACTCGTCGAATCATTCTCTCGCATACTCCGACCTCCATATCTAAAGCTCTGAACGCCTCTGATCGGCCTCGGTCCTTCTTTTTTAACTTCTTCATGATCCTGAAAACAACGATTATTATCGATTAAACGCCTAATTTCTTCAAATTAGGGCTTCTCCATCCTTTGATCTGGTTCGATCAAATCAACCCTCCAGAATTGGCGCAAAACGAAAAACGAACGAGGATCGAATTAGTACAAACAATTCGAATTCAAGAGATCTCCTATGCACACTCTACGATTAAAAGAAACTTTCAAAGCCTGATTGAAACAGAAACGCAATCCGCAAAAATCAGAACCACCGAGAGCAGGCACGTCAATTCAACGTACCTTAGAAGGTCGATTATCAACAGCATCAGAGGTGGAATCAGTAACATCGGTATCCTTCTTAGCATTCTTGACCTTGGAATGCCATTTTTTGAAGAATGCTTTGTAGGATTTGAAGAATTTTCGAAAGGAGATGCCAAGAGCCTGGGGAAGATCCACCATGAATGAGAGAGACAGAGAAAGGAAGAGAGAAAAGAGAAAGAAAATAGAATTTTTTGACTTTGTCCACAAAAAAATGAAAGGTTATTTTTGAAAATGCATATTAATTCGGTTTTCTGTTAATTGCGCGCTATTTATTTGCCCCAAAGAAAATATCAAATTTTGATTAATTTCACCAATTAAAATAAATAAATTTATGAGAGTATTTTAAATACTATATACCAGTAAATTTTGAAAATGACATTAATACCCTTAATTTTTATTTTTAAAAAAAGTTTCTTTACCGTCAATATATAGATGAAATTTTTTATTTATACCTCATAAATTATCTCTAAAAATTCATAAATCTTTTTAAAATATGGTAGTTCTGTCATATACGTTGATGTTTTTAAAAAAAATTTAAAGGGGCATTTTGGACAATTCGAAGCAGAAATTATGAGTACAGAGGAAGGCCAATGGCGGGCCTTGTTTTTCAACGTGATTAAATTCTCTCTCCTTCTTATCTTCTTCTTCGTCTTCGTCTTCGTCGTTGTCTCCGACAAGGACCTGAAGGTCTTCGATCGAATCATTTGTTTCATTAACTTCCCTACCTTCCCCCTCCATTTTCGTTCTCTTATACTCATATGAATCTCCTCTTCTGTATATATGGAGCTCCAGTTTCACTCTCCCATGCTCTGTTCTTACTCTGTTTACTCCATCCAATCCCCAGTTTCTCCGTTTGGATTCGAATCCAATGGAGGATAAGAAATCGAGTCTTGTTTCAGGTTCACTAGAGATCCGTATGCCGGTTCTGTTGTTTGTCTCGATTCTCTTTGCGATTTTCGCTGTTTCCTTGTCTGACCAGTTTCTCACCGCCGACTGGGAGCAGTTGAGATCCGTTGGGTTTGGTTCGTCGATTTTGTTTCCTGTTAAAGGAAATGTTTATCCTCTAGGGTTTGTGTTTTGTGTTTTGTGTTTTGATTTTCTTGTATTGTTTGGATTATTGAAATTTCCTTGATTATGTGTTGGAATCTGCAGTCATTTTACGGTTTCTGTCACGATTGGTAATCCGCCGAAGGCTTTTGAATTGGATATTGACACTGGGAGTGATCTCACTTGGGTTCAATGCGATGTTCAGTGTACTGGTTGCACTCTGGTATGTTGCATCTTGATCGATTTTGACTGGATTTTTGTGCTTGTTACCAAGTTCTAGCGTAATTCTGTGTTATTCATTACTATTGTAGCCCCGTGATATGCTCTATAAACCGCATAATAACGCTGTGAGTCGTGAAGACCCATTGTGTGCGGCGCTTTCTTCGCCAGGCAATGCCCCTTGCAAGAAATCAAATGATCAATGTGACTACGATGTCGAGTATGCTGACCATGGATCATCCATTGGAGTCTTGGTCAAAGATCTTGCTCCCATGCGACTCACGAATGGCCAACTCATCAATCCCAATTTGGGCTTTGGGTTTGTATACAATATATCAGTCTCCTTTGGCAATTCTGCTTTATTACTGCCTTTTCATTGTTCGTGTCTTGTTTTTAAATATTATGCTGGTTTCTAGTAGTTTTTAGTTGTGCCTTTTCATTTTCTAAAATCATGATAGAATTCATGACTTAGATTGTGAAAATGTTTTAAAAAGAGATAACAAAACAAAGAATATTTAACTTTTTAGGCCCTTTTTAAAATAGGCTTTGCGTTAGTCTGATTTTTCATTGTTTTCTTTATTAAAAAAAAAAACGCTCTAATTCTTAGTCTATAAGATCTCATATTGGTTGAAGGGATAACAAGACATTTTTTTAAGGGTGTGAAAACCTCTTCTTAGCGCACACGTTTTAAAAAACCTAAGGACAATATTTGTTTCGGGTTTTAAAGAAATGGTAAAATGTAGATCGTAAAACAAAGAAACTTTTGAGTGGAAGTGTTAGTAGTGTTTGTAAGTAAATTATGAAAGGGTCTGGCCAAACACAGTACTACTTTTTGGCCTTTGTTCTTGGAAACTTAATACCAATCTTCCTTTCCTCTGGTTCCTGTTGCCTGCAGTTGTGGATATGATCAGGACTATGGTGGCATGCAACCGCCTCCTTTAGTAGCTGGTGTTCTTGGCCTTAGTAGTAGTAAAGCAACCATTGTATCACAGCTAAATGACCTCGGCCATGTAAGCAATGTCATTGGACATTGTCTCGCCGGACTTGGGGGAGGATTTCTATTCTTTGGAGGAGGCCTCGTCCCATCTTCCGGGATGTCGTGGACGCCGATATTACGCAATTCAGAAGGGTCAGATAAATTTTGACATTGATCATTTGCTTCTTATACCTCCTCCATGTAGTTGACTTGGCATGTATTACTATTTGATCTCATTCATTCTCAGGAAGTACTCATCTGGACCTGCAGAGGTCTACTTTGGTGGGAAGGCTGGTGGAATTAAGGGCCTTACCCTGACTTTTGACAGTGGAAGCTCTTACACTTACTTCAACTCCCAAGTCTATGGAGCTGTAGAGAAACTGGTGAGAATATGGGAACAAGAACTTCTTTTATAGTTATAAATGTCTTGATTAGAACGATATCATTAGAAAAATAATGATCTGTCTTGACAATGATATCCCAGTTGAAGAATGATTTGAAAGGACAACCTCTAAAACTTGCTCCTGATGACAAAACCCTTGAACTGTGCTGGAAAGGCCGAAAAGCTTTCAAATCTGTGAGTGATGTGAGAGATTTCTTCAAGCCCCTGGCCTTAAACTTTAAGAACTCCAAGAACGCTCAATTTCAAATACCTCCTGAAGCTTATCTCATAATCAGTGTAAGTTCCTCAAACACCTCTCATTTATAACCCATAAGGGGTCAGTATCTTTCATTCAATGGATCGCTTAGCTCTATTTCTCCGTCAATTCCCTTTCTTTCTTCATGCTTTTCATTTATTTTTAGTAATGCTTTTGCCTTTCATTCAATCGATCGTTTAGCTCTATTTCTCCGACAATCTCCTTTCTTTCTTCATGCTTTTCTATTTCTCCATCAATCTCCTTTCTTTCTTCATGTTTTTCATTCATTTTTAGTAATGCTTTTCTTTTCAGATGAATGATATGTTAGATGAACACGATTCTCCACAGTGGTATGATATTGTCCACTTTGAGCATAAGTTCTCATGGTTTTGCTTTGGGATTTCCCAAAATGCCTCTGGTGGAGATAGTATTCCTTAATTATAAACCCACGATCATTCCCTAAATTAGTCGATGTGGGACTTTCATCCAACATCTCCCAAAGTATGCCTCCCCTTAATCGAGGCTCGACTCCTTTTCTTTTAGAGTCTTAGTCATTTTTTACTATGCCTTCGAGGCTCACAATACTTTGTTCGACATTTGAGGATTGCCTCCCCTTAATCGAGGCTCGACTCCTTTTCTTTTGAAGTCTTAGTCATTTTTTACTATGCCTTTGAGGCTCACAATGCTAAGTTTAGGGCATGGCTCTGATACCATGTTAGATCAACACAACTCTCCACAATGGTATAATATTGTCCACTTTGAGTATAAGCTCTCATGGCTTTGCTTTGGGTTTCCCCAAAAAGCCTTCGTACATAGTATTCCTTAATTATAAACCAATGATCATTCCTTAAATTAGCCGACGTGGAACTTTCATCCAACATGATATTGAGGAACGGACCGTAAGAATCTCTTCATTCACTTTCAGGAATTTGGTAATGTGTGCTTGGGGATTCTGGATGGAACCAAAGAAGGATTGGGGAATGTCAACCTGATTGGGGGTAAGATTAGAGACGTGTTGGGTGATGAACAAAGAACCATTTCAGATTCTTTTCTTTTACATGCTTTCTTCCAACCTTCCTCAAATTCTTGTACAGATATTTCTATGCTCAATAAGATTGTAGTCTATGACAACCAGAGACGGCAGATTGGCTGGGCTCCTCAAAACTGCAATCCACCTCCCAGAAATGAAGCTTCATATGGTATGTGCCATTTTCATTTATGAACATCAACTTTGCTTTTCATCATCTTATTTCAAGAAATCTTCCCATTTTAGGTGATCAATGAATGGCTAATTGGAGAAGTTGTTATCATCCTACCTAAGATCAATAATCGGTACGATCGTTTTTGTATTTTGTTAGTCAAACTAAAGTATTTATGTGTGGTATATGATAATATCTACTCTTCTTCTACTTTGATGAAAGACGAGTAATCAAACTATCGATCTTTAAGATAGTAGTTTGTGTCTTATATACTAAACTATGTTCGATTTAGCCGACATGAATGAAACATGAAAGAATTCATCCCAAAATTTGTAAAAGAGGAAAAATAGTATGGTCGAGAATGAAGTGAAGAAAAAAAAAGAGAGAGAGACAAGATAATCGATCTAAGAAATCGAAGGTTATGGTCAAAGAGAGTGAGATAATCAAGGAAGATGATGTTTTAATCATTGAGCTTGTGGACGAAGATCCATAATTGGGTAGGATGATTTTTGTATTTTGTACTTAGAACTAAATAGTTTATGCGTTGGATATGATAACATCTACTACTCTTCTATTTTGATGAAAGACGAGCGATCGAACTATCGATCTTTAAGATAGTAGTTTGTGTCTTATATACTAAACTATGTTCGATTTAGCCCACATGAATGAAATTTGAAAGAATTCAGCCCAAAATTTATAAAAGAGGAAAAAGAGCATGGTTGAAAAGGAAACGGAAAAAAGAAAAGACAAGATGATCGGGTCTAAGAAATCGAAGGTTATGATCAAGAAAGTGAGATAATGAAGTAAGAGGATGTCATAATCATTGAGCTTGTGGAGGAAGATAAATTAAAATTTTATATTTATATATAATGAATGTTCATAATTTTGAATGTATATGGATTATTTAATGGATAAATTAAAAGTAGTTACCCTTTTTCCTTAGTCATTCAAGATAATAATAAATAAATAATAAAAAACATATAGTTTGAGACCCATAATTATTTCGATTTTATTTTTAGTTTTATATTCATGAAATTTATGGCACGATTTTCGCTTTTATTAAACAAACATTTGAATTATTTTTGTTAAATTTTAAAATAAAAAACAAGTTTTTGAAAATTTAAAAACAAAATTATTTTTGGCTAAATTAAATTTTCATACGTTTCTAAAAAAATCTAAAAAAGTATTTTTAAACTTTCAAAAGATTCAAACTTAGGATTATTATTAGTTTTAGACGGAACTTGTTAATTTTTTTTTTCAAAAATACCTTTTTAACCGTAAAAAAAATGTTTCAAATTTTTATTTGGTACTTTAAATTTTTTAAAAAGTTTTAAAATATTATTATTACTCTCCATTTTTAAAGTGGAGTTTCCTGGTAAAAACTTTTTTAACTTTTAAAAAGTTTAAGGGTGTTAATGCTATTTTAAAATTCTGATGGTTTTCTTTGGAGAGACAAAAACTTTTTAATTCAAAAAATATTTATAACTTTCTAATTTTATTAAATTAATACATATAATTAATTCTAAAAATATTTATAGCTTTTGTCTGTGTCTAAAAAGTTCAATATTTATAGCTTTCTTGTAATGTTTAAAGAAATATAAAAACAATTCAATCTTCAATACTTTTCATAAAAAAAAAACTGAATTAGTTGAGTTGGAATATAATTATAATTAGATTATCTTTAAACGTGTTTAAATTAGTTTTAAGAAGAATTTTAGAAGGACATTACGTACCAAAGTATTTAAACCATACATTTGGATCATTTTGGCCCAATTAATATTTATGTTAATTTATTCCCTAATTTAGGTCGGAATTTACTCTGTGTTATTTTTTTAAAAAATTATTTATATATATAGAGAGGGGTATGACTAGAGATGTCCATTTAATTTATAAGATCGACAAGACAAGTAAGAAAATTGGGGAGGAATTTGAGACAGATTTTTACCATTAACGAACTAAAAAGGGAGATTATATATTGCACGTCCCAATTCCTACCTAAATCTCTGTCCTGCTCAATTTAGTTTATTTTATATATTTATTTATTTATTTGTTTTTTATTTATTTATATTATATTTTGGATTGAAAAATGAAAATTACTTGAAATTAATATATATTTTTTAATTATATATATATATATAAAAAGATGGAAAAGAAAATTAATGGCAATTTAACCTATTAAAAACTAAAAAAGAATAAAAATAGAGAGGGGTAATTTGGACATTTCGATATCGAGGTGCGAAGACCAATAGCGTCCCGCGTTCTGAACGCGGTTGAGCTTTCTTCTCTCTTCGTTGTCTTCGTTGTCTTCGTCTCCGATTAAGGCGTCCAAGTCGTCTGCTCAATTCCTGACCTCTAAGCTCCAAAGGCTTCTCCGTCCCTCTCGTGCAGATTCTTCGGGATCCCACCCTATATATATATATATATATCTATATATATATATAATGCTCCATTTTGACAGTTCAAATCCGCCATTAATCTCCTCATTGCTCTGAGCTTTCTCATTTCTCGCCTCCGATTCCAGGCGGTAGCAGCAAACGGAATCGAATTCTGCTACAGGACGACGAAATGCGTATGTCGAATCTGTTTCCTGTTTTCGTTCTCTTTGCTGCTTTCGTCGTTTCCTTGTCCGGCAAGCTTTGCCTTGCTGACCGGAAGCCATCGGTGACCAATCGTCCAAGTTCGTCGATCGTGTTTCCTGTCAAAGGAAATGTTTATCCTCTAGGGTTTGTGTTCTGTTTTCTTGCTTGATCTTTGATTTTGATTCATATTCTCTCTACCGCGTTATGTTTGGATCATTCGTTATGATAGATTATTGAAATTTCCTCGATTATCTGCAGTCATTTTACGGCTTCTGTCAATGTTGGCAATCCGCCGAAGGTTTTTGATCTGGATATTGATACCGGAAGTGACGTCACTTGGGTCCAATGTGATGCTCCATGTACTGGTTGCACTCTGGTCAGTTTGATGCAAATCAAATCGAGTTTTATTCAATTGTTTCTTTCTTCTCTTCTGATTTCGAAGAATTGTTTCTAAATTGTAGCGTAATTTTGTGTTATTGATTACTTTTTGTAGCCTCGCGATAAGCTCTATAAACCGCACAATAACGTCGTGCGTTGTGGAGAACCATTATGTACAGCACTTTTCCACCAAGGCAAGCCCCCTTGCAGGAATCCAAATGATCAATGCGACTACCAAATCGAGTATGCTGACCATGGATCATCCATTGGTGTGTTGGTCAAAGATCTTGTTCCCATGAAACTCGCTAATGGCACTGTCATAGCTCCTAATTTGGGCTTTGGGTTTGTATTCAACAACACACCCTGTTTTCTTTGACATTGCTCATTCTTTTGGCAGTTCATTGCTTGGTTTGGCCCAACATTATTTCTTTTTGCCCTTAATGTCGTAACTTGATACAAATCTTTCTTTCCTCTGATTCTCTTGTCTGCAGTTGTGGATATGATCAGCATAATGGTGGTTCACAACCCCCTCCTTCAACGGGTGGTGTTCTTGGGCTTGGAAACAGTAGAGGTACCTTGGCATCACAGATAAGCTCCCTCACTCATGTACGCAACATAATCGGCCACTGCTACAGCGGCCATGGTGGAGGATTTCTATTCTTTGGAGGAGACCTTGTTCCATCTTCAGGGATATCATGGACGCCCATATTACACACTTCAGGAGGGTCAGTAAGAAGCCACCTTGAGCAATCAGATAACTTTTGGCATTGATCATCGTGTAGTTCTCTGAACTTGTATTTGATCTCATTCATTCTCAGGAGGTACTCATCTGGACCTGCAGATGTCTTCTTTGGTGGGAAAGCTGTTGGAATTAGAGGCCTTACCCTAACTTTTGATAGTGGAAGCTCCTACACTTACTTCAACTCCCAAGTTTATGGAGCGATACTCAACCGGGTAAGATGGAGACAAGAATTCTCTAACTAACCTAAATTTTCTATTTAACCTAAGGTTGCTGCTGTTAGTTCATGGTATATATACAGTAGTGACTAAAAATTTAGGGTCGTTACAAATTCTTTTTACAATGTATCGAATGAGATTAGAAACTAATAATCTAATCTGAAATGACATCCCAGTTGAGGAATGATTTGAAAGGACAACCTTTAAAAGATGCACCGGAAGAGAAGATCCTTCCAGTGTGCTGGAAAGGCTCAAAAGCTTTCAAATCAGTGGCAGATGTGAGAAGCTTTTTCAAGCCCCTGGCCTTGAGCTTTACAAACTCCCAAAATGTTCAGTTTCAAATGCCACCTGAATCTTATCTGATTATCAGTGTGAGTTTCCCAAACATCTCATTTGTTTATCCATAATTAACCAAACGAAACCATATGTTGGAACAAAATATAAGACTGTAACAAGCTCTTCTTACTTTTGCAGGAATCGGGTAATGTTTGCTTGGGGATTTTGGATGGATCCCAAGTAGGATTGGGAAATGTTAACCTGATTGGAGGTAAGATACTGAGAAGAAAAACTGTTGCCTTTCACATGCTTTCTTCCATCATTTCAGCTTCTTCTTACCCCTTTTTCCCACCCAAATCCATGAACAGATATCTCTTTTCTTGATAAAATTGTGGTATATGACAACGAGAAACAGCGGATTGGTTGGGCTCCAGCAAACTGCAGTAGACCTCGCAAGCAATGAAAGTAGGTGATATTTCTACCTGTATAATGCATGAACTTTCTATATTTCATCGTCATCAACTGACAAGTTTTGTCATATTCCAAGGTGATTAATGGCCGGAGAAAGATCAAGAATTGGCGAAAGGTATGTAATAGCCTTTATATCTGAAGGGGTTACAATAGGATATGGTGAATGTAAATTCCCCAAGATATAATGTTATAATTTTATACGTAATTGAATAAATAAATGAGAAGAGATTCAGGTGGTTGGTTCTATAACATCCAAATTTCAGAAATGTTGTTTTGGTTGATTTTTTTTTTCTTTTTTTATGTTCGACTTCCTCTATTAATCTCAGACTTACTACTTTTGTAAAAATTTTGAAGAAAAATCATTATATTTTAATAATCTATTGCAAATGGAGTGAAAGGAAATAGCTATAAATTACTAACAAAAAAAAAAGTTTAAATTGGTTCACTTACTTAACTTTAGGTTTTAAATGGATACAATTATTTATTTGGAGTTTTAATAAATTGAGAATTTTTGTGCTTAGACGTAGAATGTGGATTTTCCTTCCCGAGAGAAGGTCAAAACTTTGATGATGGTCAAAACTTCTAGATAGGTATCTCACATCCAAACTGAATTCTTTCTAGTTAAAAGAATCTCTTTCTAGTTGCTCTGGAACAATTAGGAGGTTCTCTAGAAGAAAGAGGTGGTGCTTATGGGTCAAATCAATACTCGGTTTGTTTTCTCCTGAACCTATTCTTTATGGTCTAACAATTTCATTACCTTCCCCACGTAAACTCTCAGTCAAGTAATCAAACTGGCGAACATTTCCATATGGGGCCTCCTCATGGCATCTAAGAGCCACTGTGATCCTATCCTATCTATCCCGACTAAGTCCCGCAACGAGCGCAACCCTCGTGTTTAGTTGCCAACCGTTGAGGTTGGAACCCTGAGCAGACTGCCGGTGATAAGCCAGAGGAAGGTGAGGATGACGTCAAGTCATCATACCCCTTATGCCCAGGGAAACACACATGCTACAATGGCCGGGACAAAGGGTCGAAGAATTAGAGGGAAATTAGAAAAATTGAAGGTATGCATGCGAAAGCTGAAACCATTTTTGACATAATGTAATGTAGTTTCTTTGTAATTGTAGCATTCTTTCTATAGTCTAAAAGACTGTACAACAAAACTCTTTTAAGTGGGAATCCATCCTTCCTTCCTTCCTTCCTTCCTTCTCCACACAATTCCTCAGGAAATTTAAGAAAATATAATTTACACTTTGCATTTTAAGGTCCTCTCTTTTTCTTCTTTCATGCTCTACAAAATTGAAACTTCCATATCACATTTCCATTAATAATAATTACAATCACAAACTTACCTCTTCACCTCTCATTATGCTCGAATTTCTACAGCTTATAGTGTAGTGTACTAATGTGACGTCATAGTTCTTCTCCATCTGATATTCTGTTTGACCATATTATTTCGATTTCGAGCGTTCGAGAAGAACCATCTTTGTCTCCGTCGTGATTTAGGCTGAATAATCCACTGTACAATCCCTCCGTTACGACTTTGTCGATCTGGATTGTTACTCTTCCTAGTGTAGACTGCAAAAGACCCCAACATTCTCAAATTAGAACAATGGTAATCAAGGGTTGTGTTGTTGGTTATGACGTTGTGAGCAACAACTAAACAGAGCCAAATCAATTCAAATTATTCTTCTTTTATGTTGCATAGGTGAAAATCGAAGAACTGTTTATCATCAGCAAGGCAGGACTAGCATCAAAAAGGTAAAAAGAAAGATCGAAAGAAATCAATTAACGTTCAAAACGGTATTAAAAACGATGAGCGTAGGTGCGAAAAGGTAGGGAAGGGGCAACAACTCGGCTACATAGGAAAGTTTAGATGAACTAAAATGTGCACTTGATGAAATAAATAATTAATCATCTCCAACTACTACAAGAGGGATAATTACCTTCCCAAAAGTGCTTTTGCTCTTGCAGATGATGTGCAACTTTTGCCCCTTTGGAGGCACATCAAATGCCCAAGTAAATCCTTCTTTCCATTCGGGCGATGTACTATGGCTAACAACCTGGCCATGGCCCAGAAATCAACTTTAGCTAAACGCCACAAATCACAACAGAAAATTATGTAAATTTTTTACCTTTGTTTGTCGAGGAGGACCGTTCCCGATAGATAATCGACAGAACGCATTTGTACTTCCCATCGTCTGTTTTAGGTTGTTCCCTCGCTTGATAATAACAGTCAGACAACCTGGTAAGCAATGTAAAAGGCTATCTGCTCTGTCATGAAAACTAGGAGGGCAGGTTTTCATCAGCATTTGCAGTATGGGAATGGCCTCAGCTGCAATCATAGCTTGAGACTTTGCAATGTCGATTGGCATGGTCGACCAGGAATGCTTTAGCAAACATAGAGCATCCAACACGGTTTCCTGAGCTGCCTCGTTACCGGATTTTAGTGCTCCAATCAGATGAGGTATGGAAAGAGTAGCAGCTTCAGAAGTATGGAGTTTAGGAAAGTTGGTGAATATCACATTCAAGGTTCTTAAAACCTCTTCATTGATAGTTGCAGTAGACCACAATTCCCTCTCTAGCGCAGCTGCATAATAAAACATTCAATGCAACTCATTTTCATATTTAGAAGCCAAATGTGAGCAAAAATAAGAAAAAATAAAGAGATTCGACACTTCCATGCATAAACTACCTGTCAAAGATCTGATGAGCTCATTTGATACATATTCCTGTAATGTATGATTCGAAAACAAGAACTTTATCAACAATGCTGCCTGACCAGAAATTTCTGGACTTGGAGACAAAAGAAGCTCCTGAACAACCAATATTCCGCCCGCTTCAGCGACTGCTCGCCTATTTGTTCTACTGTGCATGACAAAATTTTGCAAAGCACAAATAGCCACCATTTTCATTTCTTCTGTTGCTTCATCTTCAAGCAAACTTATCAATGCACGACAAGCAGAAACCGAATCACTGGCTCTTGCATGTCCTGCATGCTGTGACAGATCTCCCAGAGCTAAAGTTGCGAGAAGCTTACCGGGCTGCGATCTGGTCAGTGGATCTAATAAATACTGTGATAAGGGTGCTATCGCATACTTGGAAACCTTCATCTCTCGCACCCTGACATTATTAAATAGAGTTTCAAGTAACCTTCCAGATGCTTCTTCACATTGGTGAGATCTTAGAAGGTCCACCAAGGCATCTATAGCACCAGCTTCCGCCATCTGTTCAGCGCTTAACGTATCACTACTTTCGTGATTAACTAAAGCACTGAGAGCGACCGTGATTGTGCTCTCTACAGTTGAATGCAACATTTTCACAAGAACAACCACAGGAACTTTATAATAGTATTTAGCGTTGAATCGTAATATGTTTGACAAAACCATGGCTGCTGATTCCCAGAGAGCATGAGGAGGCTGAGGGTCATCTTGTATAATAACTTTCGAAAGCTCGAAAATACCTCCAGCATCAGCAACAGACTTGGGCCAGCTAGTGGATATTTTTTCCAATGCCTTTATAGCTGTTTGCTGTAGATTCAATATTCCAATCCCAGCAAGCTGTACAAGTGGCACAACTGCATTTTTAGTCGTAATATCTTGCTGGAAATGCTCTTGTGCAAGAAGATGAGATAATAACTCGGTGCCAAGCTGCTGGACAGCACGAGACGGTGACTCGAGAAATGAAATCAGAGGCTCAATAACTTGGCTAGGAGTAAGTTTTAGAGTCACAAGGCTTTGCGGCTTCTCCAAGATATTTACGAGAGCTTGTAAGGCACTGTGCTGCCCCCACAAATTAAAATCTGGACGAAGCAAAACCAAAAATAGAGGTTCCACTATTTTTGCAGCATCTGAACTCCTAGCAATTGCATTACTATTTGTTAAAATGCGAAACAGTTCAGCCACTGAGGAGCATAATGAACTAGGTGCATCTGGAAGTAACTCGAGGCAATTATCGATGACCCCAACCTTAACCATATCCATTTTGAGTTGAGTCCGGTCTTTTCCCAACTTTATGAGAGAGCAGATGCTAGCTTCAACCAATCTATAGTTTGTTCCAGATACCAAACTAACAAGGAGGTCCACAATATCATAGGGTAAAGTGAGCTCTACTTGTTGTTCATCATCCAACAATCTTTCAAGAGCACATACCCCAGACTCGACTGCTGCACTTGAATCTGACTGCATCAGCAATAAGAGTGGCTGTATGCATTCAGAGACGATTGGATTTGTTCTTACTTTAATGTTACCGAACAGAACAAAACATAGTTCTGCAGCATTCGTCTTCAGCTCCAAGGATGACGACAATGTTAAAATTTTGCATAAACTGTCGAGCGGTGATCCTTCCACATCATTCAAGAAATCTGCTTTTGAAGAATATCCAGATGTCAATCTAAGTAATGCAGCAAGAGCAGCACCTTGCTCACTTTCTGATGTGGCATTGAGCATGTCCACTAATGGATGGAAAGCCTGCTTGGCTAGCTCAGAATCTCTAATACTCTCACAATCAAAAAGTTCAAAAAGGGCCCTTGCAGCACTGAATCTTGCGCCTCTTGACCCCAGACGTAGGACAGCTATAAGTTGATTCAAGGAACTTGCCGATGCCTCATAACGAATAAGATCAGGGTTGCTAAATAAAATTCTCAATAGATCAGATATTATGGCCTCTGTTGAGTCTTGAGGACTCAAAGACAGGTACTTTGTCAAAGCATCTACAGCTCCAGCTTCAGCCATCATTAATTTATTTGCATCACTTCCATCAGCGATACACGTCAAGAGCTGAACAGCAACAGGAGGAGCACCGGGTCTATCTGGTAATGGTCTCAAAAGATCAACTAGAAGAGGTATAGTTTTGCGTGCAGTTGACCCAATTCTAACTTCTTCAATTTCAAATAGACGCTCAAGAACAACTTGATCTGGTTTCCGTGTCAAAGAAAACTCATCTGCCAAAGCAACAAGGTTTGGCATATCCGACTCCACAAACCCAATCAGAGAAATTAACCCAACAATTGCACCAGAATTTGCAATGGCAAGATTTACTCCTTTGCTACCGTTACAAACAAGACTGGCTATTGCCTGTGCAGCAAAGAATTTATC